TTCCAGAAATTCTTCAAGGAGATTTATATCTTATTTTATCTTATTGATCTGGAAAAAGTGCAGCATTTTCTACCCATAAGCATGATTAAAAACAAAGAATAATCAATGGATAATTAGTTAGACCCAAAACTAATACGATTTAATGTTAATCAGTAAAAATAATGTTAAGAATAGTTTTTATTGCAGATGTGTCTAGTAGTTCCCATTGATTTAGCTTGGAAAGCGGGGAGAATGGCGCTAGGCTTCCTCATAGTGCTGCATTGACCTGCTGCGTCGCTAACCTGCACCATGCGTCATCGTTCCGCTAATAAAGAGCCTCACCGAGCAGCGTGGACAGCGTCTCCACGTAGCCGTTGTAGATCTGGTATTGGTGGGACAGACGGACGTCCTCCCACAGCGCCTGGGCGTAGTTGATGATCTGGAAGTAGCCGCATGTGGCCAGAGCCCACCACACCGACCAGGCCAGCAGGGTGGGACACCTGTAGCACTGCACCAAGTCGTGGAGGAGCGTCCGTAAAACCTGCAGCGGCCCGCCGCCGCCCCCTGGCGGCTCAGACGACCTGGACATCTGAAAGAGGAGGAGGGGCTTATCACTCAACATGAAATGTTTACCACTTGGTTTCCAGGGAGATGCTCTCACCATGGACACGCTGCTCTCCGAGTCATCCACCTTCTCCGAGCTGCAGCCAGGCGGTCGCTCCTCCTGCGCTGCTGGACTCTGGTGGAAAAACAGGCTCCTCTTGGGCATGGGGAGGAACCAGGGCGCCGCGGCGGCCACGGTGGCCGACGCCAGCGTGAGGATGACCAGGTGCACCAGCTCCACTTCGGCCAGCGACAGCAGGAGCTGACCGAGCAGCGAGCCGGCGGCCGAGCCGAACAGCGCGGCGCTGCGGCAGTAGGCCGTCGCCCTCTGGTAGAGCGATGGCTCCACCACGCTGTAGATGTAGGAGTAGTAGGCCACCTCGGACGCCGTGGCCAGGCCGAAGAAGAACTCCAGCAGCTGCATGGCGGCCAGGCCCCGGGCCTTCCACAGCAGCAGGTAGGTCAGCACCAGGCTGCAGGCCTGCAGCACCAGAACAGGCTTGTAGCGCAGGAAGTCTGTGAGCAGGAAGACGGGGAGGAGCAGAGCGAGGTAGGAGTACGTCCACACCGGGTAGATTTCATTCACAACCTGCAGGGAAACAGATGGATCAAAATGTTTTAACACCTACTTACAGTTTGCTGTCTGACCCAGCCTAATCGCCACAGTCTTTGAGACCTCCCATACAATGCAGATTAAGAATTTAATCCAGATTAATAGATTATTGAATTAATCCTCAACTCATTTAGTAAATGATTAATTATTAACTGAGTATAGAGACTCTAAAACCTTCAGCTGACAGAGCGATCCACTTAGAGCAGGAATTATTAAAAAAAATTTTTGTTTTACAATATGTTTATTTACCAGAATAAAGTCACCGCACAAGAAAAAAGTCGCAACATTATGACAA